TGTAAAGAATCGCCGACTTGTTTCGCAAATTATGACAGATATAAGTATTGGAAATTGTGGGGGAGATACCAGAAGGAATGATCCGATCTCTGCCATCTTTATAACAGATCGTCTGTTGACGGAAGTATAGAGATGTACCAAGTCTGAATGGAATCGGATGTTAATTTCGCGTGTTATAAGCTTCATGGGTATTAAAAATTTTAACCTTTGTGGGGGAGGTACCAGATGGATTGAACCGATACATTCTATCTTCACAGGAGATCTTGTGTAAGTAGAAATAATGGGATATGTGAAATATGAAAATAATCGGATGCTAATTTCGGATTTTATAATCGTTTTGGTTATTCAAAATTTTGACCTTTGTGGGGGAGGTACCAGAAGGAATGGTCCGATCTCTATGACCTTTATAACGGATCTTGTGTTGATTGAAATATTTAGATGTACCAAGTCTGAATGGAATCGGATGTTAATTTTGTGTTTTAAGAGCTTCACGAATATTCAAACTTTTGACGCTTTGTGGGGGAGGTACCAGAAGGAGTAAACCGATATATCCTATCTTCACAGCAGATCTTGTGTAAGTAGAAATAATGGGATGTGTGAAATATAAAGAGAATCGGATGCTATTTTCAGATTTTATAATCGTTTCGGTAATGCAAAACTTTGACCCTTTGGGGGGAGGTACTAAAAGGAGTGGGCCGATATATCCTAATTTCACACCACACCTTGGGTTAATAAAAATGTTGTGATGTGTGAAATATGAAGAGAATCGCAAGCTTATTTCTGTTTTTATAATCGTTTTGTTATTCCAAATTTTGACCCTTTGTGGGGGAGGTACCAGAAGGAATTGTCCGATCTCTACCATCTTTATAAAAGGTCTTGTGTTTATGGAAATATTGAGATGTACCAAGTCTGAATGAAATTGGATATTAATTTTTTGTTTTATGAGCTTCATTAATATTCAAAATATTTAACCTTTGTGAGGGAGGTACCAGTAGAAGTGGACCGATATATCCCAATTTTACACCATACCTTGGGTTAATAAAAATATTGTGACATGTGTAATTTGAAGACAATCGGACTCCTACGTCACATTTTGTAAGAGTTATAATTATTCAAAATGTTGACCCTTTGTGGGGGAGACACTTGATGGAGTAGACCGATATTGTCCATTTTCGTACATGACCTAGCGCTGATGTAAATATTAAGATTCGCAAAGTTGGAGCAAAATCGGATTATCATTTCTCTTTCTGTGCAGTAAATTATTTTCTTTGAAATTTTTGACATTTTGTGGGGGAGGTACCAGGCGGAATGGACCGAAATTGCCCATCTCCGAACTCGATTTAAGTTTGACAATAATATTACGATGTACCAAGTTTGGATCAAATCGGATACTCCCTTCGAGAGTTATCGTATGCAACAGCCAGCCAGACGGACGGACGGACACAGTTAGATCGACTCCAAATGTCCTGAAACTGATTTGGCCCAACAATCTAGGGGCTAAAACCGTTATTTCGATGAGGTACGTTTTAACCGTATCAAATGATATATACCCTCGGTAGACATGTGGGCGAGGGTATATAAATATATCTCAATAGGAAAGTTTTAAACGTCTTTTATAAATTGAATAACTTTTAAAAGACTTCAATATGGAATTGAGGGAATTTATTAAGAATAAGAGTAATACTGATAGTCCGCCTAAAAATATGCAAGAGTCTATAGAAAATAGAAAATATAGAAATTGACGTAGTCTATAGAAAATATCCCTCAAATTATTTATTTAATTAATTAATTCCCATAACCCACCAAAAAAAAAATTATGTGGTATTGCATTTCAGGCAACAGCTTCCAAAGCAACCTTTGCTCTCCCAAAAATATGATGGTTAATGTACAAAAATATATATGGAGGTATTTCGTGTCATTTAACACAACGAGTTCGTGTGCATGTCTACATTGCTAGCAGAATTTCGTTAAATTCTGAAATTCTTTTGTTTTTATTAATGTAATTCTATTCAATTAATGCTGGTTTCGTCGACAATATGACAGTGTTGTGTCTATTAACCAGTGAAAGCATTCAATTATGATGGAGTATAACTTTTCGTGTAGACCTACTATTTGGCTGTGGATGCTGATTTCATTTACGAAACTCGTGCTGCTCTTCTTAGTTCATTGACCACGCTGATTGAATATTTGGGGACAAAATGGGTGTGTCAAATAGTTTTATTCAATTTTGATTATGATATAATAGCATTTTTATTATATTTCAGGTTCATAGGTCATGAACTAGAAGGGTGACCTACCTAATTGTGCCGTTGTCATGCTTTAGGGAGGGAATACTTTGTTAGGAGATTAAATTGAAAGGTCTTGGGAAAACAGTTAAGGGCTTTTTTTAGATTAAACATTTTCGGGAGCCTAACAGATGCTCCCTACAGACAACTGTTACTGAGTCACATTACATATGACTCTAACAACATGTGTAATCTAGCCTTTATTAATAAAATATATACAGGGCGAATCACGTACCATGCGAACTTTTTGTTAATCAGTTATTTGTTGCAGTTAAGGTTTAAGTAAGATTTTCCCAGTAGCTGTGTCGGTGCGACTACTTGTATTCTTCTACCATGAATCGTAGCAGGAACTACATACAAATTTGTTTTTTTTTTTTTTTTTTTTTTTTGTATGTAATACAAATGTCAGAGGCACATGGGAACAACTCAAGTTTAATAAAACCTCTTCGATTTTTTCGAAATTCTTTCCAAAGGTAGGTACTAATCCCCTTATTCCGGGCAACTATTTTTTTCTTAGGGCACGGAACCGGGACACCAGATTTTGAAAATCTCAAGCCATCTACTACTTACAAAACGCGTCAAAATTAGGAAACGGCTTAACTCTAGGTTATTAAAAACTCTTCAATTTTTTTTCGAAATTTTCCCAGGTATTGGAAGGTATTCTTACCAGAGAGCTTTAGAAAGCTTATGAAAATACCTATCCAACAAGTGGTCACAGTTCGGAAGTTATAGTCAAATTATCGATTTTTTTGTCCCGGAGGGCCATTATGGGGGTTAACCAAATTTATGCCAAATTATTGCTTACCTTTCCAAAATGCTAAAATTTGTGCTAATACCTTTTCTGGGTCCAGAGATATCGGTCTTTCCATCCGCATAACCCAATTCTAACCAGTTCATTAAAATTATGTTTTCAATAAAAAAAAATGTTTATTTCGCGTAGCCGTCGTTGGTATTTCAAAAGCACCAAATTTAGAAAACTTTGGTTCGCATTAGCCGGCGTGGAACATACCTAGAGGAGACAATTTCAAGCCCCGGCCGAAGGCCGCCTATTTGCGAATAGTATCAAATTCAGAAAACTTTCATTCGCGTTACCCGGTGTGGGACATAACCAGATTAGAAAATCTCAAGCCCCGACCAAAGGCCGGCTATTTACAAAAAGTGTCAAATTTAGAAAACTCTGGTTACGCGTTTACCGGTGTGGAACATACTCAGAGTAGAAACTCTCAAGCCCCGGCCGAAGGCAGGCTACGTACAACAACTGTTAAATTTAGGGAAAACTTAAGTTCGCGTAGCCGGTTGAACGTACCTAGAAGAGAATATGTCTGGACCCGAAAAAGGTATTAGCACAATTTGGAAAAGTAAGTGTGTCTATTTTGTTGAACCCCATAATGGGCTCTTTTTCAACTTATTGGGGGTTATATAAAAAAAATCCGGGTCCAACAAAACGAAAATTTGACTATAACTTCCGAACCGCTTATAAATATCGCATGTGACCATCTAACATTTATATCCAATTTTATGCGAAATCATTAATTCCATATTCTGGTTGAGAGCAAGGTTGAGAGAATTACTTAGATATAGCAAGTTGTAAGGAATAGCTGACTTATTTCAGACAGATAAAAGTATTGAAAATTGAGACTCTTTGTGGTTGAGGTATTCGAAGGGGTTCGCAGATGTGCATCATCTTCACCACAGACTTTGTGTTAGCAAAAATGTTTGTGTGTTTCAACATGAGTTGGATGCTTATTTCGTTATTTTTTTATATATTCAAAACATTGACCCTTTGTGGGAGAGGTACCAGAAGGAGTGGACCGATATATTCCAGGCAGATCATGTGTTAGTAGAAATTTTGTGATGTGTGTAATTTGAAGACAATCCGACTATTACATCGCATTTTATAAGAACTATAATTAATCAAAATCTTGATGGAGTGGACCGATATTTTTATTTTCGCACCTGACCTAGCACTGATGTGGGGAGGTACCAGAAGGAGTGGACAAATGTTGCCCATATCCGGAATCGATCTAAGTTTGACAATAATATTACAATGTACCAAGTTGGGATCAAATCGCATACTCCCTTCGAAAGATATCGCGCGCACCAGCCAGACAGACGGACGGCAGTTGCTCATATCGGTTCCAATGATCTAACACTTTCGATGGTCTAGCTAACCTGCTGACATCCAATGTAAGTTCCCTTACTACTGACTGACCATTAGGTTGTGCCATCGCCTTTGCTAAGTATTTTATTTTGGCATTCGACCTGTCGGCTGAAAGTTTTTTTTCTTTTGAAAAGAATTTTCTTTTATTTTCTTTATATCCCTAGCCTGTGTATAATGAACTCCCAACTTTCTTTCTAACTTATAATCTCATGTCGACTTTTTATATATGACATGGTAGAGCACAGCTGTTCTTTCTCAAGCCCAAACTATTATTTTTTAAATGAGGTTTCTCAGGCCCATTTTTGTTTTCTTTTATGTATTTTTTATTTATCTTATTTATTACTTCTTATTTATATATTTATTTTTTTATTAAAAACTCAATTATCTTGCATTGTTTTGTATAATTTTTATTCAATTATCATTGATAAAATATGAAGTAAATCATCTACTAGAAAAACATTTCATTTTGTTAACCTTAGTATTTGAGTAATAATTATCCACACTTTTTTGTATAATTAATTTCATAGTAATTGTTTTTTGGTTCATTTGTATCGTTTTTTTTTATAGAAATATAATTTAAATTTTATTCCTATGTTAATCTCAAAAGTGGTCTCATCATTATGTTGATTGTTTACAATTAAAAAATATGCCTCTAAAACTAAATAATTTAAACAATCTCTTCGTTACTGGCCACAACAGCAGGAGTTCCTCCTGACAGACCACAAAATTTCCACTTAATTGTATGAGCATTATCACTAGAAGACGCATCGTTTTGTTGTTGAGATTTTTCAAAGAGATTTTCATACTTTGCAAGTATTTCATTTATGCGAGTCGCTTGTATGTTGCTTTGTTGCGAAATGTTACGTATGTAAGAACATATGTCTTGGGCCGTTGATCCCAGAGGTTGAATGAGAAGATACGCTGTAGCCAAGGCAATAATTTTTGCATCCTCCAGCGGGGGTGGTTGGGGAGACTGAAAGAATAAGGGATGATATAAATATATCTACCATGATATACAGGGTGAGATAAAAAAAAAACTGCAACAAAAAGTCAAACGCCATAATGTTTACATTTTTTTAATATTATTGAAAGTGAGGAAAAATGTCGGAAATAGCATCAAATTTTAGAATAAGTTTAGATTTGTTCGAATTGACCACCTTTGGCACGAATTATGGCTTTCAAACGGTCAATGAAACCGTCACACGGTGCCTGAATGTTGCTCTACGGTATTTTGGCCCATTTCCGGCGAAGCGCTTGCTTGAGGGGATCGACACTTTGGTATTTTTTAGTGCCAACCTTGCTTTCTAAAATACTCCAGACACAATAGTCCAACGGATTGGTATCCGGAGATTTTGGTGGCCATTGTGCGCTGGAAATGAAGTGAGGAATGTCATTGGGTGGTGCGTGCTGGGGCCTGTTGGAATGTCCAAGGTCTGCGGTAAAAAATGTTTGGGTGCCCAAGGTTTTAATAAACCCTCCAAAATATTTCCGCGATAATATTCGGCATTTATTCTGATGCCACGGTCGATTAATACGAGCGGAGAGCGATCATCGGCTGTTATAGCGGCCCAAACCATCACCATGGCCGGTGCTTGAGTTCCGATGGCCAACCGAATGTGCACAATTTCAGCTGACCTCTTTGGCAAGTAAACACGATCATCTTGTTTGTTTACAAACTGCGGGACAACGAATGTTTTCTCATCGAAGAAAGTCAAATTCGGCAGATCACCACTTTCGACCAGGCCAAGCGAAGCAACTCTTTAGCTCTTTTGAGTCTATTTTCTGTGGCGGGTAAGTTTTTGCACTTTTTGGAATTTCAATGGCTTTACCCCGAGCTCATTTTTCAATATTTGCCGAATGGAATATTGCGATATGTTCAGCTCATGAGCCATTTTTCGACCACTGCGATGCAGGTTTCGATCAAGCCGTCGCTTTTTTATTTTTCGAACCATTTCTGCTGATGTTGCTGTTTTCTTCCGTCCACGTCCTTGACATATGTCGGGCTACGCTACCAGTATCACGGTAACGAGCGATAACACGAGATACAAAAGATTTATTCACATCTAAATGCTGGAGTGCTCTAACGTGGTTTTCCAGCCAAATAAAAAGAAATCACACTATCACGCTTGAATTCCATCACTAATAACTTTTTTGCTGGAAAATTCTCACCAAAATGCTTTTATACGCTTGTAAACAATATAATGAGCTGTCACTGGAATAATTTTAACAGCTGTCGGACGAGTGGCTTAGAAGTTGTTTGCAGTTTTTTCATCTCACCCTGTAAAATTCCACTTACCTTTAGTTCTAGCTGCAGTTTTTCTGGTTCCTTTTCCTCGGCTTTATTTAGAATTTCTTCCTTAGTTTTATCTTCGACACACTGGACATCGTCCATAATTTTCCGCTGTGTTTTTTCCATTACACTTGCATTGGTTGGCTGATTGACTTCCAAAATTTTCACTTCATCATCATCCCCACCTTCCTCCTCTTCCTCCTCATTCTTGTCCACATCGATGTCAATAACTTCTGAGCTATCATATTTTTTCACCTCTCCCATGGCATCGCGTAACTTTTCATTTGTTTCTTTGATTTTGGTCTTGAGCAGCAGCTGCTTGACTCCGGCCTCTTTCAAACGTTTCTCCAACATTTCAATGTGTTTTGCATCTTTTTGTTCGCGCATTTTCGTCTGCAACAACTGGGTTTGCATATTGCGTATGGTCTCCTGGAGAACTTTCATTTGCTTTTCACGAAAATCACTGTTATACTTGAGATCGGTGCGTTCAAGGCTCATTTCATTGCGCATTGCTTCCAATTGACAGCGTAGAGAATCATTCTCCTCCTGAAATTAAATTGGAATATTTGAAATCCTTTGGACAATTTTGTAAAGTGTATGTGACTCACCTTCAGGTTATCGCTGTCAAATCGCCTGCGCTTGGCACTGGATGACGATTGATAATCCCGATCCTCATCGGACATTTCCATTTCATCATCGTCGATTTGTATGGAGCGTAATTCCTAAATGTTTACGATTTGAAAAGAGAACGTGTGTTAATGCTATTTGACTTTGCAACGGCATACATTTGGTTTAACAAAAACAAAAGACTGCTTACATAATAGTAAGGTTATGTATAAAATAGTTATAGGAAAAATTTTGCGAAATTATCCAAAAAATAAAAAAAACCTTTAACTTTTTTTATTCTTTTTCTATTTTTAAATCCAAATATACCTTCTTTCTTATCCTTTTCTATTAACAATTCGGCGTAGCCTTACTTACCTTTTGTCAAAACGTGGGAGATTATATTTTAGAGGGGAAAATTAATGCCCTGTTAGCATTGGAGATTTTTTAAGACGATTTTTTTGTTTTGTTTTTGTTACAGAAAACTTTTATCCAAAATATATACCAGAAAAATGCTTTTGTTTTTTTACCAATTGACCAAACATTCTTTTAACTTTTCTTAAGTTAATTATATAAGCATTTTTATTATTATTTATGAATTGTTGTTCTTTGTTGTATAGCATAAATATTTGAAATAACATTAAGTTTGAAACAAATTATAGACAAATATCTAAATGATATAAAATGTGTGGTATAATGAAGGGTGTGTAACAACCAATATTTAGTTATTTAGTGGGGAGTCAAAGTGTTTTTGACATGAGAACATTCACTTTTTGTCAAACTATTTTAAACTTCGATTCCACAATTAAAAAAGGTTACACATTAAATAAGACAATTGATTTTTAATTTACATGTGATAAATGGTGCTAATATTTAGAAAATGCAGATAAAAATTATATTTAAATGTAAAAGGATTAATATGTGCACAAAATGCCAGTGAATTTAACATGCTTACATAAAATATTTTAGTTTAGATTTCAGATTACATTAAGAATGAACTGAATAAAGAAAGGAAGAAAACAATGATATAGCCACTTAAAATCTAATAAATAAAAGGAAAACACTGAGAACTTCTTATTTATTCAATGTTCCTTACAAAAGCTGTATTTTTGGTCATCAGCGTAGGCAAGAAGGCCCAGACACCGGGAATTTACTAGTCAATTGTGTTCACAAAGCAATCCTATCCAGCCCAGAGCTCAAACAAATTTTTTTACGGAGACTAAGCCACGTTCGATCTTAGTCAATTAAAAACACAATGACCCATTGAAGGCAAGCGACCCTATTACGGCCCTATTGTCGTCGTCGAAAAAGTAAGTCGAGGCGACAATAGCGATATTAGGGTTGTTTTTTTTTTTTGTCGGTAGCGATGAATGATTGCTATTATGGCACAATTACAGAAGATAGAACAAGGCTATAATATATTTTTTTTCTTTTTGGTGTCCCTATTCCCAACATACCAAAAATGCAATACAGCTTGAGAATAATATTATAAAAATATAATTTTTCAACAATGCTTGAGAAACACTTATGTTCCACAAACTTTTCTCAAAACTGTCCTTTGTTGACAAATTAATTTAGATTTTTTGTGAAAATTATCAGAAAAAATTGTTTTCTTTAGTAGAAAGCAAAATCACGCGAATTTAGGACCCATTTGGGGGAGTTACCAGAAATATCCCATCTTCACACCAGACGTTCGCTTAATAAAAATATTGTGACGTGTGTAATTTGAAGAGAACCGGATGCTTACTTCAGATTTTATGATCGTTTTTGTTATTCAAAACTTTGATCCTTTGTGGGGGAGGTACCAGAAAGATCTCTACCATATTTATAACAGATCTTGTGTTGATGAAAATGTTGAGATGTGGCAAATCTAAATAGAATCGGATGTTAATGTCGTGTTTTATGGCATTCATGGATATTCAAATTTTTGACCCTTTGTGGGGGAGGTACCAGAAGGAGTGAACCTATATGTCCCATTTTCACACCAGATCTTGGGTTAATAAAAACATTGTGATCTGAGTAATGAAGAGAACCGAATGATTATTTCGGATTTTATGATCGTTTCGGTTATTCAAAACGTTGACCCTTTGTGGTGGGGGTACCAGAAGGAATGGTCCGATCTCTACAATCTTTATAACAGATCTTGTGTTTATGGAAGTATTGAGATGTGCCAAGTCTAAATGAAATCGGATGTTAATTTCGTTTTTTACCAGCTTCATGAATATTCAAAATATTGACCCTTTGTGGGGGAGGTACCAGAAGGAGTGGACCATATTCACACCAGATCTTGGATTAATAAAAATATTGTAATGTATGCAATTTGAAGATAATCGGATACTTACATCACATTTTATAAGGGTAATAATTATTCAAAATTTTGACCCTTTGTGGGGGAGGTACTTGATGGAGTGGACCGATATTGTCCATTTTTGCACCTGACCTAGCACTGACGCAAATTTTAGGATTTGCAAAGTTGGAGCAAAATCGGATTATTGCTTCTTTCTGTGTAGTAAATTCTTTTCTTAGAAAATGTTGATGTTTTGTGGGGGAGGTACCAGAAGGAGTGGACCGAACTCCATCTCCGAACTCCATCTAAGTTTGGCAACTATATTACGATGTATCAAGTTTGGATCAAATCGGATACTCCCTTCGAGAGTTGGCCATCTCCGAACTCGATCTAAGTTTGGCAATTACGTTACGATGTACCAAGTTTGGATTAAATCGGATACTCCCGTCGAGAGTTATCGTAAGCACCAGCCAGACAGACAGACGGATGGACGGACATCGCTAGATCGACTCCAAATGTCCTGAGACGGATTTGGTCCAAAGACACCTAGGGTCTAAAACCATTATTTCAATGAGGAACGTTTTGGCCGTATCAAATGATATATACCCTCTGTAGCCATATGGTATAATAATCCACAAGAAGAATCAAAGTTTTTATACCCTCCACCATAGTATGGAGGGTATATTAAGTTTGTCATTCCGTTTGTAACACCTCGAAATATACATTTTATATCCCACAAAGTATATATAATCAGCATAAAATTCTATGTCGATTTTGCAATGTCCGTCCGTCTGTGGAAATCACTCTGGCTTCCGAACGAAATAAAGTAGATTGATTGGGTCGAACTATTTTACTTGTTAGATATGAAATTTCTAACAGGAGCCTACTAGACTCCTACGTCTTTTAATTTTGTCTCCAAGGATCACTCTACTTAATAAAAAAATATTCAAAAGTAAATTATAGGACTCAAACCTATAAAGTTCAATAAATATTTCGGGATGTCAAAAAGAGGAAAGAGAGGGTTCATTAAAGGAGTTACTATGAATATATGTATGTATGTAGAATGATAGATAAAATGAATATAATTAGTAAAACATTGATATAAAAAATTTGAAATATTTACAGCAAAATTTAACGAAATTTAAGATACGAAAAATAAGTGCTGGCATACAACTATAAATTAGTGATAATTATTCTACAAAAACACGTATGTTTTAAAAAAAATAGAGACATATATATGAAAAAGGTTAAATTACACAAAAACAAGATGTAGTACACATAAATGTTTGTATGTATGTTAATTGATGTTTGAGAGAGATAGAAAAAAGCTTACAGTTTTTTTAGTTTGTTTACTGCAAAAACAAATACATACCGTGGCCAATTTCTTCCATTGATCGATGTTTTTTCTTTGGGCCTTGGTGAAATGGTCCCAAACCTTCTGATTCTTGTGACTAGCAGCATTAAACACTTTATCAATCTGAGTGACTGAATATATAATATATATTTTTTATATATATGTATAGGCAATAAAAAAATTACAATAAGGTCAAATAATAATACACAACTTAAAAAAACACACAAATAAAATAAAAAACAATTACAAAAACAATAAATAGTTAGAAAAATAATTGGAGAGCTCTGTGGACCGGCGGCTTCTTGTGGTTAGGAACTTGAATGTTACAAACCTTTTGCGTTTGTGAGGAGCAAAAATACCACATCACTCCTCATCTTTATGTGTGTATGTGTGTCTTTATGGAATTCGTTGTTTTGGGAAATACATTTAGAGCGGAAGATATTTCTTTTTTTGTAATTTACCTTTGTTTGAGTAAGGCCCAGGATGGGGCCCTTTATTTGACTGAGTTTCTGCTTTAAAAAATGATGTGTGTACTGTGGAATTGAACTAAATTTGAATACTGCTCTAAACCTATGCTGAATACGCAATGAGTTAGAAAATCGAATATCTAACGCAGTTGGCTATATATCCTATGCCGCAGTATTAAGAAAGTGTGTAATATTTTGATATCCAGAGACAATTGTAAATCGTCATTTTCAAAGTAGGACACAAATAGATAAAATAGGGCACATAAGACCAATGGCAAGGCAATAATATGAAGATATTATTGCGCTACGCAGTACGGCAATAAGACTCCTAACTGTTTTGGAATTACAATATATTTCCTACTTTATCTGCATGCATCCGAAATCCCTCGTGTTTATGAAATATACCTGAAGTTCTTTCTTCTTGTGGACGATAAAGTCATCAATAATCTACGCCACATCCAATTTTTCTGTCAAAAAATATATTTTACAGCTCACTAACTTTTTTTAGTGTTTTTTTTTTTTTTTGTTTTTTGATCCCTTGTGGGGAGGTACTAGAAGGAGTGTACCGATACATACCATCTTCACACCAGACCTTGGGTTAACAAAAATATTGTGATGTGTGTATTTTGAAGACAACCGGATAGTTATTTCGGATTTTATTATCGTTTTGATTATTCATAACTTTGACCCTTTGTGAGGGAGGTGCCAGAAGAAATGGTCCGATCTGTACTATCTTTATACCAGATCTTGTGGATGAAAATATTGAGATGTACCAAGTCTGAATGGAATCGGATATTAAATTCGCGTTTTATGAGCTTCAGGGACATTCAAAATTTTGACCCTTTGTGGGGGAGGTACCAGAAGAAGTGGACCGATACGTACCATTTCCACATCAGACCTTGGGTTAGTAGAAATAATGGGACGTGTATAATATGAAGAGAACAGGATGCTTATTTCGGATTTTATGATAGTTTTGGTTATTTAAAATTTTGACCCTTTGTGGAGGAGGTACCAAAGAAATGGTCCGATCTCTAACATCTTTATAACAGATCTTGTGTGAATGAAAATATTGAGATGTACCAAGTTAGAATGGAATTGGATGTTAATTCCGCGTTTTATGAGGTTCATGGATACTCAAAAAATTTGACCCTTTGTGGGGGAGGTTCCAGAAGGAGTGGACCGATATATTCCATCTTCAAATTAGACATTGGTTCAATAAAAATATTGTGATGTGCGGAATTTAAAGACAATCGAACACTTACATCACATTTTATAAGAGTTTTAATTATTCTAAATTATGACCCTTTGTGGGGAGGTACTTGATGGAGTGGACCGATATTGCCCATCTCCGAAATCGACCTAAATTTGGCAATAATATTAAGATGTACCAAGTTTGGATCAAATCGGATAACCCCTTCGAGCGTTATTGTACGCAACAGCAAGTTAGACAAACAGACAGACAGACGCACGTACATCGCTAGATCGACTCCAAATGTCCTGAAACGGATTTGGTCCAAAGAGACCTAGGGTCTAAAACCGTTATTTCGATTAGTTACGTTGTGGGCGTATCAAATGATATATACCTTCTGTAGCCATATGGCTGAGGGCATAAAAAATGTGCGGTATAGGATATACAGATAAAACCGATGACTTCTATAAATCTAATCCTAACTATAGAGCACAAATATTACACAATAAACATAAAAAAAAACATATGTATATTCCTCAAAACTTGTAAATTTTACCATTTTCTAATCTAATAAAATGTAGACAAATCCAACCAAAACACACACACCCACACTCATCACACTCTCTTCAACAAAAGCACTCACACAAACACTCTCTGATTCAACACAAACCAACAGAACTAAAAAATACATTTTCATCATTTGAGGCAATAAATCTAACATACATATCCTTGAACAAATAAAAAACCCATCAAAAACTTACATTGTGCAGCCATGGCCAACATTTGTTTACGAAAACTCTCGCGAGCTTTACGCAAATCCTCCTCCAAGACTTGTTTATCTGCCGTTAAACGTCTAACATGGGCGTGGGTGCTTTGTATCATCGAATAGAAAACATTGGCATTACGTTTATTGCAATCTCCTCTCTCCAGCCATACGGTGAGGGTTTGCACCCCCTTAATAAATGTGTCATTGCTGCGTAGACTTTCTGCCACCAAAGAGGCTTCATGATCACTATAGTGCGGTATGGGTGGGGGTGATTGAGAACGTAACCGATCCAACGACATACGTTCACGATGTCTCTGTTCCCTCTGCAATTGACGTTGTTTACACTGATAGTCATACTGATCATCTCTGGCCTGGGCATAGTCGACATGCAACCGTGCAAATGTTGTAGTCTGATCGGTGCTTGTGGAGTTGAGACGTAGACGATAGCCACTTAAATAGATCGCTCTATCAATGGATTCCTCGTTGCGAAAACGTATATGGCAAAAGTTCTTTTTAGACATACGTAAGGTGGAGATTACCCCACAACTTTCGAATATTTCACGTAAAATTTCCTCGGTTATTTGTTCGGGAAGACCACCGACGAAAACGGTACGACAACCGGGCGGTCTTTCGCGTATGGTGGGCGGTGGAGCTGAGGGATTTGGTGGAAATAATATGCAGCTTTTGGTTTTTATGATCTCCTTGACAGGTGTTGCTGGAGTTACGTTATCTAAGGGAAGAGAATTGTAAATTGGTGTTATATTCTCTAAAATTTTATAGCCATATATCATACCCGTTCCGGCGTTGACCTGCCCTAATTTGCTCACATCCCCACCAACAGTACCAGCAGCTGCTGTTGTATCTGTTAAAGCTCCATTCCCATAGGCTCCGAATTGTTGCATTTGTTGCATGGCCACAGCCATCATTGTGGTTGACTCCAGCAAATTGTTGGCAGCAGTTTGCTGATTCCCAGCGGCATTTGGAAAAAACATAAACGCCGGATTGATGCCAGGAATTTGACCAGACAGCAAACTATTTAGATAAACACTTCCATTGGCAAGATTTAAAGCTGTCTTATCAGCTGCATTCATCTTGTTAGGGTTTGCATCATTACCCATCATTGCTGCTGTTGCGTTTGCCGGGGAGGGGGTGTCATTGTCATCATTTTCCAAATCCATTGGAGCTGTACCTTGATTTGGTTTAATTGGCCGGCTGGAGGGGCTTAATGATCCCAGTATAGGGGCTGGTGGTGGCTCCGGTGTACGTCTAATATTTGACGAAATGGACTTGGCATTGAAATTGTTTGTCGCAGCCGTTGTGGAAGAAGTATTGTGTTGTCCCGTTGCAGTGTGGGTCGTTGGATTACTGTTCATTTGCATTGCCGCTGCCAAATGGTTGATGAAGTTAGTCTGAGGGGTGGTCATACCCCCCGCCGCCCCTGCAGTGGTATTGAAAAATGGCACTGTAAATATAAACAAAAAACATATGTTTTTAGAGGGGGTTGTTTACATATTTGTTTACAAATAAAAGAGAAAGAAAAAAAGGCAAAATTCAGTGTTGCCAAATCTTGGGAATGAATAAAGTTCGCATGGACTATTCACGGCATTAATAGAATTATAGGTTACCTTGATTTCAAGGTCAGTAGACATTTTATTTAAAAAATGGATGAAGAAATTTTACATTTTATTTAAAAACAAGTAAAAAACATTAACAGCCTGTTCCACGATCTCGAAAGAAAATTTGTGCGAACGAAGGCTACTCACTCACTTTCGCATAAGAATGCGTTCCACTAACTTTCGTTCTTTCTTTCGCATAGCCTTACGTGATTCAGTGTTGCAAAATATTTTTTGGCAAAATTAATCGCGAAATAAGGCAAAAAAAAAGCGCCAAATGTCTAATATAAACGCGAAAAAGCAGCAGTGGCTCTGTCTCAACTGACAGTTCAGTTGTAAACAAACAAATTGTAAATAAACAAACAAAATAAAATTTCTAGTGATTGTGTTCAGATTATTTGTGTTCTTAAAAAAGAAAAAAATGAATATTTCTGTAGCCCTATTTTTTATGGATGATGAGGAGGAGGTTCAAATTGTGCCACGGAGGCATTTAAGAGATGCTTCGAATTTATTTGAAGTACCTAACAACCAGTAAGTATGATTGTATTTTTACATTTTTAAAATAATAAAAAAATGATTTTTTCTAGGTTTGTGTCTTCCAATGGTCTTCATGGGATTGCCTGCTGCTTCCAAAAATTGGCACTCCTCTGGCGAACTTAGGATTCTCCCCCATATACTCAACTATTGCCCGCAGCTGTGTAGTTTTTTCGTGCTGGAATTGAGAAAATAAAAAAAATATATATTTGTTGTTCACAGATTAAATTGCATTTATTATTTTTACTTACATTTTTCTTTCCATTTTCAATCAAGAAATGTTTATGTTAAAACAATTTTCCTTAATTTTTATCATTCGACAGCAAACACACAAGTGACTGATTTTGACATTTGTGTTCGCATGCGTACGAAAGAAAAAAGATAGTGGAACGCAAAATTACACTGAAACGCTTACGTTTTCGTTCGCTTTGATTTTCGTGCAAATTTTCGTTCTGATGGATTTTAGTGGAACGGAAATCAGCTGTTTGTCGTGTAAAAGTTGTGCGAACGTGTTCTTTCGACATCGTGGAACAGGCTGTAAGTTCGACCGGGCCAAACTTTTAATACACTCCACCTTAGGTAAAGGAAGCATTAGAAGCCATTGTGTCCCACAAACACCAATTTCGTGGGAAAATTTCGCAAAATCATGAGAATATCGGATATCGGGAGGTACCGCTATATGGGGCTATACAAAAACGTGGACCTATACATACAATATTTCGGCAACGGAGCTAGAACCCATTAGGACACAAAAATACCAATTTTTATATCTGGAGGTACCGTTATATGGGAGCTATACCAAAACGTGGAACCCATTATGACCAAAAAATACCAATTTTTAATACAAATCCGTGAAAAAATGTGACAAAAACCATAAAAATACCGCATATCAGGTGGTACCATTAAATGGGGGCTATACCAAATCGTGGACCTATACAATACAATGTTTCGCCACCGCAGCCAGAACCCATTATGACCAACAAATACCTATTTTTAGACAAATCCGTGAAAAAATGTGACAAAAACCATAAAAATACCGCATATCGGGAGGTACTGTAAAATGGCGGCTATACCAAAACGTAAACCGATATATCTCGTTTTCAATACCAACCATCATAGATACAATACAAATTATTCTGCTAAATTTTGAAGCTCTACATCAAATAATGTGGGCTGTACCGTGATTTCAACAGACAGACAGACGGACATTAGAATTTTACGCTGATTATGAATATATATACTTTATGGGGTCTACAACGAATATTTAGGGATGTTACAAACGGAATGACAAAGTTAATATACTCTCCTTTCCAAGGTGGATGGTATAAAAAGAGATGAGATATATGTAATATAGTTGAAGATCCCTCATATACTTTGTTATAAATAATTTACACAAAATTTACACAACTGGCAACTCTTACTTACAACAAGTAATAAATGTAAACAAACTACAAGAGCAAAACAAAACGAATAAATATCAATCATCCTCCTTATGCCACATTCGTAACCAACTATATGTAGAAAATGGCGATCACAACAAACATGGGGATAAACGAAAGCGAAACGCACCACGATAAATTCAAGCATAAAAAGTATGACCAAAAATAGAAAAGAATATGGCGACACTAAATTTTCAATGCAAATATAGTTTAAAAAAAAAGAAATTCAAGCATTTAGCAATGCATTGATATACTTTTAAATATTAATTTCACAATCCCCACAACTTGCATTTCTTCTAAAGTATGGAAGAAACAACACAAATTGTGTTTGCGATTGTCGCAACAAGATTTTTTCTGGGCGAGGTGAATGGTAACTTGTATGCACTTACACATATTTTCCAAAGCCTGTTGGCCCAAGTTATTGTAATTAAAAGCCATTTTCTTCGGCAGCACTCTGTAGTAGACACTTTCACAAATAGTTTCAACACATTTTTTCCTTAAAATACTTTTTTTTATTTAGTTATTTTAATAAAAAACCTTAAGAGAAAAGTCGACTACTTGCACTACTTGCCGTCCCAACTAGACAACGAAACGAACGTCAGTTGCGGCGAAAGGATGCCACATTGCGTAATTGTAACAGGGCTGCCATGTGAAAAATGAAAATTGAGGGAATAATGTAGCGAGAGAATTTCTTGAAAAAGGTGTAAAATTGCCCAATACTCTCTACAAAATATTAACAAAATTTTGATATATAAAAATTTCTCAACAGTTTTAAAGTGTAGCACAAAACAGCTGTATTATTTCCAGATTTTATTTAATGTTCTCAGTAGAGTAAGTTCCACCATTAGGTAAAGAAAAAATGTTTTTACAAAAGTATCTGGATTCAAACTTGTTCCACCTCGAACTACAAACTCCAGTAATATCTGTAGAAGAATGCAGTTAGTTTAAAAAAAAGCTTAAGTTCGGCCGGGCCGATCTTTGAATATCCTCCACCATTTCGAACGCTTTTGGCAATTATCAAAAACAATAAAATCCGTTAAAAATTCTGTTAAAATTTTGAAAAATACCAAATGTAGCTGCTATATTAGGGTCTATACGACGACTTTGACCTGCATAGGCAACTTTTGTCATAAACCATTGCAGTATTCAAAAGCGAAACTTGAATAAAATATTCGGTGGACAATGTCGCTAAAATCACCAAAATACCGAATATGGTACCTCGTTATATGGGAGCTATATGAAGACGTGGACTTGCACAGACAATTTTCTGCCATAGGTTGTTATGTATTGTCCGTGGTAGAAGAATACAGGTAGTCGCATCGATACAGCTGCTGGCACAATGAACTGTCAAACCAATTTTGGAATTAAAAATTATAAAACTTGTAATAATGGTAAAAAATGTCTAACATAACAACCTTTGATTGGCGTTGTGCTAGTGTTAACAAATTTTATCAGTTTAGCTAGATAATGACATTTTGATATCGGTTATGAATTCTCACATAAAACAAACAAAAACAAAATTTGTTGGTACAGGATAGGCAGCGTATTGTTGTTTTTGTTTTCCAAATTCGTTTACATACAAAATTGTTACCCGGGCCATTAAATTAATGATCTGTTCCAGTACCTGCAAGAATCTACAAGATTTACAATTTTCTTTGATATCATAAAGGGAAAATCGTTTATCGTAGTAAAAACTTTTACATTCTTGCAGTTCTGGAACACGCTTATTGTGCTAAAAAAAGTGTAATATCAGCTCGGTTCAGATTTGGATCTTCACTCGATTTCACGTTTATTGTGATAAAAAAGTATAATATCAGCTCAAATAGGATATATTTTTGATGAATATCTTTTCAGACACAAATGTCTCCGTCAAAATTAGCAGAACACGGTAGAAGACTGACATGTATTAAGGTGAGAGTAGATAGAGAGTAGATTTGTGACTCATCATAAAGGGATGCCAGTGCCGCAATCAAACCCTGTCGTCGTTGTTCCTTAAAATTTGACATTAAAATGCCTAGTCATGATGCAAAGCTTCTTATGTATCTTCACCTAAAACGTTCATTTGTTATATTTAGCGCTACTATATAGGCAAAGTGGTGTAGAGTATCATAAACTCGGCCCAGCCCAACGTTGGCCTTTCTTTACGGGTTTACATATGTCAATAGCTGTCCACACTATTATCCATGTGTTGTCATACATGCGATATTACGTACGTTTCACAATTTTTGATATCACAAAATTGCATATGTTTTTTTATTTCATTTTATTAAATTGTTATTTTATGATATTTTTTTAACATTTTTTATATAACATGATTAAAAGGTATCCGGAAATTTCATTTTATAAAATTTCACACAAAAAAATAAACAAAACTTTTCATTAAACCATTGTACCATATTGCATATGAAAGAAAAAAACATATCGTCTAATAGAGCCTTAAGTTCAGTGAGCTAGAATGAACTAGATTTAAGGATCTAGTTCATAAGCTCTTTTCAATGAACAGTTCACTCGAACTAGTTCATTGGTGAACTATACAACTCTAGTTGATGAATCATTTTGACATTTCGAGAAGAAAAGTTTAAAAAACAAACAAGTCGGGCATAATAAAATTATAATAATAGTGGAAAATTCATAAAAACCAGAAGCAAAATGTCTGTTAATACAGCCCACGCCAATAATGGCGTTCTAATACATGCTGGAGAATAGTAAGTCTTAGGATTTTTCTGTTAATTATGGTGAAATTCCAGCATGATTAGATTTGTCGGTCAGCGATAACTGTTGTAATTGAGAAAAACAATTTAATTGTTGTCCCAAAAGTGAAATATGACGTCTTATCAAATCTAATGATGTGTGAATTTCCTTGCCGAATCTACGCTGCTTTTATTAATAGCATGTTTCCATTGGAAACCGAACAACGTTGTTCGCTCTCAGAATTAGGTACACGAATTAACCCGTTCATACGGCACGATTCGTAATTCATAGTAAAATAATTCCTTTTTTCAAAAAAATTGTTTGTTGATTTTAAAGGGTATGTATACGAAAATACATGAAATTCTCACTAATATGAATAGAAGAAATTATTGTTTTTCTCCCAAAGATTTATTATATCATTAATTTTACAATTTTCATTCACGTTTTCAACTTTTTGTGTAAATATTGACATTTTGAACATATTTTTGTGTTTTTCCATTTTTAAATTCTGCTGAAGAGACACTTGTCAAACATTTTTTCTGCCGATAGAAACATTTTGAAAATATTGACTATTTTGTTTGCAGTTTTCTGTAGAAATTTTAACTCGTGGACCAAATGCGTACCTCGAATGAGAGAGAAAGCAAAATTTACTTTCGTTTGAATGTACATACGCCATTCAACATTGTAGTTTTCACTCATAATTTTCAGTCTTCCCAAAAATTTTTAAAATTTCATTAAATTTTTCTATTTATAATTTTTAAAAGTCATAATTTATTTTTTCGATAAATGCTCTCATTTGTTAGGGATGGGACATATTTTTTCGTTGTTCTGAGAGTGATTTGATTTGAACAACGTACAAATATGAGTGTTCGCTCAGGAAATTTTGTGTGAAGAATTAGATAGTTTTTTCATAGTTAAGGGTCAAACAACGAATAGAGAGCGAATCAAGTGCAGTGGAAACGCCACATAACATATATACGTAGTATATAGTATAGATGTTATTAATTTGTATGTCTCTTTATTTTGCAGTATCTTACTTCACAGCGACAATGTTACCATGGAATTTTCTGGTCAGGACAGTTCGGTCTTTAAGGGAAGCAAGGCCGGACGCATTTACCTGACGTCACATCGTATGATATTCAATAGCAAAAAGTCTGGTGATGAAATGCAATCGTTTAGTGCTCCTTTTATTGCCATGAATGATGTAAGTAACGATGACGTTTTGATGGATTGTTTCCGTAACTAAGTACACATCCATAGTGTGAATATGTATGTCACAAGGAAACCAGTGTAGCTAATTAATACAAATGTATACACACACTAAATCTGACAATGTTCTACTTAGAATAATTTTCCCCAACAAAGAAAGTTTGTAGTTCTCTCTTAATTAATTCTGTAATACACGTTTGGTGTTACACAAATTTGCTGAAGAATAGGATTTACCACAACTAGTCCCATTAGCGAACAAAAGTTCCTCCTTTGGCGTTGTCCCGGTTACCAGTTTCCTTAACCCTTGTCACATACCAATGATTAAAATAAAATTTGGGAAATTTTCTTCAGGTCCATCTTTTTCAGATTTTAATCGTTCCCTGTGTTTCTAATATTCCCTAATAATATACGTTTTTACTTAGAACAACAAATTAATATTCCATTGAATGTTGATTAGTGGTCTTTAAGTTATTTCATAACAAAGATTTACTTTTCGGAAGCCAATTTTATTTTGAACAAATTGAGGGCGTAAAAGCCTAAAAATATAACATAATTACGAGGATCTAATTTGATACATGTTTTTGTTCACAGGTTGAATTGGAACAACCGGTGTTTGGTGCCAATTACATCAAGGGCAAGGTACGTGCCCAGCCAAATGGCAACTTTGTGGGCGAAGTCAAATTCAAGCTTTACTTCAAATCTGGAGGTGCCATAGAATATGGAATGGCTTTATTGCGTGCAGCTAAAACCGCTCAAAGCAACTACCATCGTGGCGGTTTGCAGGGTGATGATCCACCACCATATACACCATCCGGCAATTGGCATGAAGCTCCACCACCAGCCTATCAGCCACCACCGGGCTATTATGGTTGGTTGCCACAGCATGAAGCGTTTAGTGGCCCAGCACCCAATACTGTGTATCAGAGTGATAATCCACCACCATACCCTGGTATTGGAGGACGTAAGTAGATGGGTTCCTTACTTTTTGGGAGATACCTAAACTCGGCTTTTGTTTTTGTAATTGGCTTTGTATTTTTTTCTCTAAATTTTGGGAATTTTGTAAATTTTGATTTTCACAGCTCCAGCGTATGGTGCTCCCGGTGGTACGGCTCCACCTGGTTATGGCGGTGCACCCGGTTATGGAGGAGCTCCGGGTTATGGTGCGCCAGGTTATGGCGGCGCCCCTGGCTATGGTGCACCTGGATATGGTGGGGCTCCAGCTTATGGTGGTAGTGCACCACCATATGCTGCTCCACCATATGGCGATCCATCACAACAACAAAATCTGTATCCTTCTGTTCCACCATCACATCCCTACAATCCTACCCAACCACAGCCTTATAATCCAACACCCCAGAGTAATAATCAAGGTTGGGGTGGCTTTTCTGCTCCAGCCAGTCAACAACAAGCGCCACAGCAGCAACAACAGCAAAATAATGTCTCAAATAATAGCTCTCAACAACGTGAGGAGCCACCATCATGGAATGGCTTTTCATTGCCACCTGACGATGATGAGCCAGCACAGCGTCAACAAAATCAAACTCAACAGTCATCAGCACCACCACATGCTGGTGGCTATGGAGGTGGGTATCCAACGGGTCCTTCTAATGGAGGAGGAGGAGCTCCTCCTCCATATCCACCTTATCCTAATTATGCACCAAATAGCGGTTATCCCCCATATCCACCACAGCAACCACAACCCTATGGTGGTGGTGGATATCCTCCTTATCCTCCAGCTGCTGGGGGTCCACCGGCGGGGGCTATGGGTTTCACTGCACCAAATTATCGTAAGTTCTGATTTGATTTGCGTTTTTGTGTTTCATTGTTTTGTATCTAACACACATTTAAACACACAACTCATTATTGCTTTTTCCAAACTATTTAATTAAAGGATAAAAGATAAAAGTTAATGGGAACAGTCGAAAAACCGTATAACACATTCTTTGGCCTTAAAGAGATCCGAAATATCTGAGGATATGATCATAAAATAAGCTCTTAAATATAAACCATCGTTCGTTTTCTATACAATTTTTAAATACTTTTACTAATGTAAATGCACTAGCACTTCACGGCCAGAAATATTTCAGTTCTAAATGGGCAAATAATAGATTAACACTTACTCAACACATACTTTTTGATATTTTCTTTCTTCCAATCTTTTGAATTTCCCTTCAATATTTTTTATTGTTTTATTCTCCTCAACAGGTTATTAATTCAATACAACACTACTACCTTCTGCAACAACAACGTATTCTTTTTAAACTCAAGGTAATCTCCCAAGAAATGAAAATTTGTAAAACACGAACAAAAGCCGAGCGCCGCCATCTTAATTATCCTATAACTGATTTATGTTTGAATTTTTGTTCAAATTTCCAGGCAATACTGTCTATTATCCATATTACTATTACTATCCACCACCAGCACCATCAACTGGTTTTATTTTTGTACCAATTTTACTTCCATTTGCTTTATAAACAAAGACAAAATTCTTTCTTCAAGAGTGTAGTGAAACCCATAAAATTGTTTATTTAATATTGATATCCTTCAAGAAACGGGGTTTCAATAAGTATAGGATAAAATCAACTTTACGCATGCTAATTTTGAAACTATTTTGAATCTCATCATCGAATGTAAGCTATATTTGTTTTGTCCTAAGATATATTTTTCATTTAATTATCAAAGAAAACAATTCTAATTTTCATCGTTTTATTCCCTAGATTCAAAGGAAGCTGAAGCCTTAGCCAGTGCTTTTAATACCACAGAAAATCAACGACCAGGTGGCTCACGTGGAGGAGCCCCTCCGGCTTATGATGTAAGTAGAGAACAAGAAAATTGTTTTAATCTAGGTTTTAAGGGTGAGATGAAAAAACTGCAACCAACTTCAGACTGCTGTCATTTCTAAGTCAATCGTCCGACAGCTGTTAAAATTATTCCAGTGACAGCTGATTATATTGTTTACAAGCGTACAAAAACATTTTTGTGAGAATTTTCCACAAAAAAAGTAATTCGTTATGGAATTCAAGCGTGATAGTGTGATTTCTTTATATTTGGAGAGTTAGAGCACTCCAGCATTTAAATATGAATAAATCTTATGTGTCTCGTATCGTCGCTTACCGTTACCGTGATACTGGTAGCATAGCCCGATGTCAAGGAAGTGGACGGAAGAAAACAGCAACAACAGCAGGAATGGTTTGAAAAGTAAAGAAGCGACTTGATCGAAACCCGCCTCGCAGTGGCCGAAAAATGGCTCGTGAGCTGAACCTATCGTAATATCCCATCGGCAAATATTGAAAAATGAGCTCGGGGTAAAGCCATTGAAATTCCGAAAAGTACAAGAACTTACACCGCAACAGAAATAAAATAGACTCAAAAGAGCTGAAGAGTTGCTTCGCTTGGCCGAGAGTGGTGAACTGCTGAATTTGGTTTTCTCCGATAAAAAAAACATTCGTTGTCCATCAGTTTGTAAACAAACAAAATGATCGTGTTTACTTGCCAAAGAGGTCAGCTGAAAATATGCACCTTCGGTTGGCCTCCAGAACTCAAGACCGTGGCATCAGAATAAATGCCGAATATTATAGCGAAAATATTCTGGAGGGCGTATTAAAGCTTTGGGCACGCAAACATTTTGGCCGCAGACCTTGGACATTCCAAACGGACTCAGCACCATCGCACTCAGCACGCGCCACCCAAGAATGGTTACAAAATGAGTTCTTCGCTTCATTTTCAGCACACAATGGCCACCAAAAACTTCTGATACCAATCTGTTGGACTTTTGTGTCTGGAGTATTTTGGAAAGCAAGGTTGGCACTAAAAAATACCAAAGTGTCGATCACCTCAAGCAAGCGCATCGCCGGAAATGGGCCAAAATACCGCAGAGCAACATTCGGGCACAGCGTGTGACGGTTTCATTGGCCGTTTGAAGGCGATAATTCCTGCCAAAGGTGACCAATTCGAACAAACACTTTTTGATTTCATTCAATAAAATTTAAAAAAGTGTAAAATATATGGCATTTGACTTCTTTGCAGTTCTTTTTTATCTCACCCTGTATGTTTCAAAAAATATTCAATTGACGTTTATCCCCTACATACTCACTCCCCCTTCTATCTATCTTCAGGATTTGCCACCAACCTATGATGATTCTAATCGCAAAAAATACCAATAAATCGGCTTTACATCCACTTAACAATTTTTTGTGATTGAATTCTGGACATTCCCCCCCAAAGAAATAGAAGCATTGTTTGGCTTTAAGTGCAAATTATTATTTTAAATCTTAACACGAAAATTGTTAACATTTTTATGTAAACACATATTGTTATTATTTTTTTCTTCCCTATTAAATATTTATATTCTTTCAATATTATATTTTATATTAATATATGTATAAACTTGTATGTGAATTAAATATACCATTATTGCAACTATATTTCTGCATCTTTACAATTTGTATGTATGTTGTGGAGAATCATTAGAGTATATGTTGAAATGTGTGTCCTTGTTATTGTATTACATTTTCTTAAATTTTATATGAACATCTTCTTGTGACAAAGAAGTGTAAATGTAAAATCTGATATATATAATAGTATTGATAATAATAAAGAAAATGCTTTGCGGAAACTAAGAAGACAAGAAAATTTTATTATTTTATTATATTACAGCACAAAGTTTTACATTCTCCAAATTTCACGAGCAAAATTTCCTCTACTGATCCTCGACTGAAGTTTTTTTCGTTATCGATTTCGTGAATTTAGCCCCTAGACGTATGGTTCCTTTGTCTAGAGTCTAAATTCACGAAATCGATATCGAAAAAAACTTCAATCGAGGATCAGTAGTGAAATTCTCTCTTAAATTTCGATAATTAACGAAAATTATCGGCAAGTTAGCAAGCAAAATAAATTTACTACCACCCATAGCACTATGCTGTCAAATTTTATTGATACTTTTTTTCATAATTTTATGTTTTGTTTTTTCAACGGTTTTATCACCTGTAGGTCAACACTTGACTATTATCCATAAATAGGGATCACTGCAGACTACGGTCATCCATATCCAAACAAATCAGTATCTCTTATATAATAAATTCGTATAGGAATAACAATCATAACACAAATAAATTCATAAAATGTCCAGTGTTTAATTTCATGGCGTTAAACGCCCGACGTTTTCGTTGTGCTTACAACACGATACACAAACGGGGTTCACATGGTGCAGCCTTGTCAAACATCAATTACAAGAGAAAGCAACACTGTCCCCTCATTCATATGGTTGCCATATCTCTCTACACTATTGTACTAAACATAACGGTATTACGAAAATTATTACACCAAAGAAGCATTCCAATCAAGGCAAAAGGAAACAGAACAAATTCTCATATTGTCATACTCCATTGCAAATGAAAGACGATTTTGATTGTATGTTGTCGTTAAAAACGTATTTTCTCATACGAAAATTCTTCAGTATTTTTAATGTAAATCAGCTGCAAGCAAATCCCCAATTACTAGCGAGACAATGAGTATACAGGATGAAAGTTTTCCCTACGACAATTTGGAGATGTCACAAAATTCCGGAGATCATATGATATTCGCACATCATAAGCCACCATTGAAAAGAATTTATAGTCATGATCTGGAAGATGGCGGTGTGGAGGAGAATAATGAAGAATCGACTGTGTCGTCGCCGGGACGCAATCAACAAAATGATTCAACACAATCCTCCAATGATGATGGACCCATCGAAGCCGAGACAAGTGGCAAAACAAATGCTAGCGAAACACAAGGTAAGACATGAAACTATTTGCGGAAACATAAGACTGTCTATAAATCTCTTTCTTCTTTCTTCAGCCACCGAAACCAAGAGGACCGAATTTGTACGCAATCCCCAAAACAAATCCGTTTCATATCAAGACATCCACTCGGAATATACGAAACGTCGCTATAAACATGTTGAAAGTAAGGTGGGTCAATATATTGCCAATATAAAGGCACAAGATGAAAAACGTCGTTCAGGAAAATTTCAACGACATCGTTCCATGCCCGAGACATTGAGTGGCCACAAATCTGTCGAGTCCGTTCAAGGTTTACGCAATGTTCCACAAAAACGTGGCATACTTCGGCACAGTACCAATGATTTGGATCACATACATGATCATGAATCGGCCATAAGTGATCATGATACGGAAAATTTTGATAATATAACTGGTACCACAACAACATCATCTTCCAGTCGGGAAATCCAACAAGATGCTGGCATCTATTTGGACAAACAAACCTATGAACAGTTGCTGAGCGATCGTGAACGCGGCGAATATCTGCAATCAATGATGGATGAGAAAAAGGCCGAAATTTGGCGTTTGAAACAAAATTTGGATACAATGCGCATTGAGTATACTATGTGTAAGGATAAACTCAAGCAAATGAATCAAACTCATCGGCTGTCATTGGGTGGTATGGGAGGAGGAGGAGGAGGAGCAGGAGTGGGATTTGGTCTAAATGCCATGACAAGTGTAAGCCGAAACTCTTTGCAATGCTTGTTGGCCCAACAAGAAACTCATGATAAGGCCACACAAACGGAAAATCTATTGACACCATCACCTGTGCCTCCATTGTTTGATACTCCACTTACACCGGATCCCAATAATAATTCCTTTGATCACAATGCCGTGGGTGTTATGGCCCCGGCTCATTTGAAGGTGCCCAAAAATATTGCCACCATACAACCATTATCGTTGAATTTTAGTAATCTATTGGAACAGGATAATAGCCGTGATTGTAGTATAAACAATACAATGGGTATGGGAAATTGAAAACATTTCATTTAATAATTAATATGTAGCATTTCCTTTCCTCTTTTTAGGTTTCCTACGACAACGCTCCAACTCAATGGCAAATCGCCAAAAATCCACCCCCTTGGCCATGGCTTTAAATAATTCGAAAAACATGAACTCCTCAGCCAACAAAAGTTTCATACCCAATTCGGAAAGTGGCATTGATATTGAAGTGATTGAATCACCACGCAAACAAAGACAAAGTCGTCGTGAAGAATTCATATATTTTGAAAATCGTTCACAGCGTAACAAGAATCAGAGACGTGATTTGGCCGAAGCTGAGACCATCTGTTCACCCGGTGGTCTAACAACAATGATTGTCAACACCAGTGCTGGTGATAGTGATGCAGATGCCAGTCGAAAGACACACAATCGCCGTAGTCTAGGGACACGTATGATGCGTCTCTTTGGTGCCTGTACCAAATGTGAGGATCCGAATAGAACAATGGACACAACACTGGATCCATCACAACATCAATCGTACTCACAGATTCCACTGTTGGAGAAAAGTCGTACAAATCGTCGTCCGAATTTACGTTAAATATCGTAGGGAATTTTTTTTCATCATTTTGTCGTGTAAGTTTCTTAAACTTTTCTTCGAGGAAAAGTTTGGTAAACTTGATATTTGATAATTTGTTTTGATTTTGGATATTTAATTTGTTCTAATTTGTTGGACTATTGTCCTGTTTTCTGCTTTCTGTTCTGTTTCTATTTTTTTTAAATTATTTCGTTTGATTTTTTTTTGTGTATTTATGCACAACATTATTTATTTATATATATGTTTATTATTTCTTATTATTCTCTTTTGATTTAAATATATTTATTTTTCGTTCTACAAAAAACCAAATTTTTTTAGTTAAGGAGAGCAGGTGGTTCCCTATGGTGTTCTATAAGAATATTGGTCTTGGGTTCATCAGATGATTTACAGAAGAACGAAAAGCTATTGCCCTTTATAAGTGGTCCACATAACTCGTTTTGTAGGTTTTTTATACGATGAATTTCTATAGAAAGATTACATTATCGTTTAGAGATGAGCAAAGTTTTGGACTTTTATTAGAAGGCCTTTTTTTTTGGTTCTCTTAAAGAAAACACTGCTTTGGTCTTCTTTTGCAAGAAGGCCATTATTGTATTTTAGGCATTTTTTTTTTGAAGATGGCTAACTTTTTGGAAAATATTCTATTTTTACCCTCCAATATACCCTCCATATATTAAGTTTGACAAAGTATATATATTCTGGATCAGCATAAAATTCGAGGTCGATTTAGTGATGTCCGTCCGTCTGTGGAAATCACTCTAGCTTCCGAACGAAATGAAGCAGGTTGATAACTTTTTACTCAAATGTATAACATGTCTGCAGGACTTTAGGTATTGAAAATGGGCCATGTAGGCCCACGTTTTGGTATAGCCCTGATATAATGACACCTCCCGATGTTCGGTATTTTGATGATTTTAGCGACATTATTTACCGGAATTCTTTCAAATTTGGTATTTGAAGTTCGTAATGGATACTACAGTCTGTGACAGAAAATTGTCTGTATAAGTCCATGTCTTCGTATAGTTTCCATACAACGGCATCTCCCGATATTCGGTATTTTGACGATTTTAACTACATTATTCACCGGAATTGTTTCAAATTTGGTATTTGGAGTTCGTAGTGGATACGACAGCCTAGGACAGAAAATTGTCTATGCAGGTCCACGTCTTCGTGTAGCCTCCATATAACGGCAACTCCCGATATTCGGCATTTTGATGATTTTAGCGACATTAATCGCCGGAATTGTTTCAAATTTGGTATTTAAAGTTCGTAATGGATACTACAACCTATGACAGAAAATTATATGTATAGGTCCATGCCTTCGTATAGCCCCCACATGACGGCATCTCCCAATAATCGGTATTTTGATGATTTTAGCGACATTATTCACCGGAATTGTTTCAAATTTGGTATTTGAAGTTCGTAATGGATATTACAACCAGAAAATTGTCCGTGCAGGTCCAGGCCACTGTATAGTCCCCATATAAATTTACCTACCGATATTCAGTATTTTGATGATTTTAGCGACATTATTCACCGGAATTGTCTCATATTTTGTACAGCCTATGACAGAAAATTGTCTGTACAGGTCCACGTTTTGGTATAGCATTTGAATATTGTAATGGCTTATGACAACAGTTGCGTATGCAAGTCCACAACGTTATATAATGTGCGTGAAGATAAAATCGATTTTAACTAGCGAAGACAACACCCAGTCTGGGCGCACTTTCTGTTGTATAACAGTGTATAACAGATATGCGGAAAATAAAAACGATTTTGGTAGGGGTAAAATAAAAACGATTTTTGAAGATGCGAAACAAAAATGCATTTTTTTTAAATTTGTATTTATTCTTGTTTGTACCTGATAATGAACATAATTATAAGTATAAAAAAATAAAATAACTAATTTAAAGGTATTTCAATAAAAAACTTTCGTCATCATACCGACTATTTTTTAATGGAAGAAAGTTACATAGCCCACTGTGCAGCAATAAAAAATAGTGCACGCATATGAATCGCACTGCAGGAAAGGCAGTTCCAAGAGCTTTCTAAAACGCTATTACTTGGCCAAATCGATCGTGGAAAATTAGAGAAAAATCGATTTTTCTTATTTTTCAAAAGTTATCAACGAGTCCCACTGTGCGAAAACTAAAAATAGTGCAAGCTCATGGAATAGCACGTTGGAAAGCCCATAAGGTGTACTTTCAATATATAAGCACTCCTGAAAGATTAATCGGGCAGATTTTTTTTTAAAAATATTTTTCTTAAAGTCAAGTGTTTTCTAGAGGGAAACATAAAATGGCCCACTGTGCAGCAATAAAAAATAGTGCACGCATATGAATGGCACTGCAGGAAAGGTCGTTCCAAGAGCTTTCTAAAACGCTATTACTTGGCCAAATCGATCGTGGAAAATTAGAGAAAAATTGATTTTTCTTATTTTTCAAAAGTTATCAACGAGTCCCACTGTGCGAAAACTAAAAATAGTGCAAGCTCATGGAATAGCACGTTGGAAAGCCCATGAGGTGTACTTTCGAGATATAAAAATTCCTGAAAGATTAATCGGGCAGATTTTTTTTAAATAATATTTTTCCTAAAGTCAAGTGTTTTCTAGAGGGAAACATAAAATGGCCCACTGTGCAGCAATAAAAAATAGTGCACGCATATGAATGGCACTGCAGGAAAGGTCGTTCCAAGAGCTTTCTAAAACGCTATTACTTGGCCAAATCGATCGTGGAAAATTAGAGAAAAATTGATTTTTCTTATTTTTCAAAAGTTATCAACGAGTCCCACTGTGCGAAAACTAAAAATAGTGCAAGCTCATGGAATAGCACGTTGGAAAGCCCATGAGGTGTACTTTCAATATATAAACACTCCTGAAAGATTAATCGGGCAGATTTTTTTTAAAAATTTTTTTCCTAAAGTCAAGTCTTTTCTAGAGGGAAACATAAAATGGCCCACTGTGCAGCAATAAAAAATAGTGCACGCATATGAATGGCACTGCAGGAAAGGTCGTTCCAAGAGCTTTCTAAAACGCTATTACTTGGCCAAATCGATCGTGGAAAATTAGAGAAAAATTGATTTTTCTTATTTTTCAAAAGTTATCAACGAGTCCCACTGTGCGAAAACTAAAAATAGTGCAAGCTCATGGAATAGCATGTTGGAAAGCCCATGAGGTGTACTTTCGAGATATAAAAATTCCTGAAAGATTAATCGGGCAGATTTTTTTTAAAAAATATTTTCCCTAAAGTCAAGTGTTTTCTAGAGGGAAACATAAAATGGCCCACTGTGCAGCAATAAAAAATAGTGCACGCATATGAATGGCACTGCAGGAAAGCTCGTTCCAAGAGCTTTCTAAAACGCTATTACTTGGCCAAATCGATCGTGGAAAATTAGAGAAAAATTGATTTTTCTTATTTTTCAAAAGTTATCAACGAGTCCCACTGTGCGAAAACTAAAAATAGTGCAAGCTCATGGAATAGCACGTTGGAAAGCCCATGAGGTGTACTTTCAATATATAAACACTCCTGAAAGATTAATCGGGCAGATTTTTTTTAAAAATTTTTTTCCTAAAGTCAAGTCTTTTCTAGAGGGAAACATAAAATGGCCCACTGTGCAGCAATAAAAAATAGTGCACGCATATGAATGGCACTGCAGGAAAGGTCGTTCCAAGAGCTTTCTAAAACGCTATTACTTGGCCAAATCGATCGTGGAAAATTAGAGAAAAATTGATTTTTCTTATTTTTCAAAAGTTATCAACGAGTCCCACTGTGCGAAAACTAAAAATAGTGCAAGCTCATGGAATAGCACGTTGGAAAGCCCATGAGGTGTACTTTCAATATATAAACACTCCTGAAAGATTAATCGGGCAGATTTTTTTTAAAAATTTTTTTCCTAAAGTCAAGTCTTTTCTAGAGGGAAACATAAAATGGCCCACTGTGCAGCAATAAAAAATAGTGCACGCATATGAATGGCACTGCAGGAAAGGTCGTTCCAAGAGCTTTCTAAAACGCTATTACTTGGCCAAATCGATCGTGGAAAATTAGAGAAAAATTGATTTTTCTTATTTTTCAAAAGTTATCAACGAGTCCCACTGTGCGAAAACTAAAAATAGTGCAAGCTCATGGAATAGCATGTTGGAAAGCCCATGAGGTGTACTTTCGAGATATAAAAATTCCTGAAAGATTAATCGGGCAGATTTTTTTTAAAAAATATTTTTCCTAAAGTCAAGTCTTTTCTAGAGGGAAACATAAAATGGCCCACTGTGCAGCAATAAAAAATAGTGCACGCATATGAATGGCACTGCAGGAAAGCTCGTTCCAAGAGCTTTCTAAAACGCTATTACTTGGCCAAATCGATCGTGGAAAATTAGAGAAAAATTGATGTTTCTTATTTTTCAAAAGTTATCAACGAGTCCCACTGTGCGAAAACTAAAAATAGTGCAAGCTCATGGAATAGCACGTTGGAAAGCCCATGAGGTGTACTTTCAATATATAAACACTCCTGAAAGATTAATCGGGCAGATTTTTTTTAAAAATTTTTTTCCTAAAGTCAAGTCTTTTCTAGAGGGAAACATAAAATGGCCCACTGTGCAGCAATAAAAAATAGTGCACGCATATGAATGGCACTGCAGGAAAGGTCGTTCCAAGAGCTTTCTAAAACGCTGTTAGTTGGCCAAATCGATCGTGGAAAATTAGAGAAAAATTGATTTTTCTTATTTTTCAAAAGTTATCAACGAGTCCCACTGTGCGAAAACTAAAAATAGTGCAAGCTCATGGAATAGCACGTTGGAAAGCCCATGAGGTGTACTTTCGAGATATAAAAAGTCCTGAAAGATTAATCGGGCAGATTTTTTTTAAAAAATATTTTTCCTAAAGTCAAGTGTTTTCTAGAGGGAAACATAAAATGGCCCACTGTGCAGCAATAAAAAATAGTGCACGCATATGAATGGCACTGCAGGAAAGCTCGTTCCAAGAGCTTTCTAAAACGCTATTACTTGGCCAAATCGATCGTGGAAAATTAGAGAAAAATTGATTTTTCTTATTTTTCAAAAGTTATCAACGAGTCCCACTGTGCGAAAACTAAAAATAGTGCAAGCTCATGGAATAGCACGTTGGAAAGCCCATGAGGTGTACTTTCAATATATAAACACTCCTGAAAGATTAATCGGGCAGATTTTTTTTAAAAATTTTTTTCCTAAAGTCAAGTCTTTTCTAGAGGGAAACATAAAATGGCCCACTGTGCAGCAATAAAAAATAGTGCACGCATATGAATGGCACTGCAGGAAAGGTCGTTCCAAGAGCTTTCTAAAACGCTATTACTTGGCCAAATCGATCGTGGAAAATTAGAGAAAAATTGATTTTTCTTATTTTTCAAAAGTTATCAACGAGTCCCACTGTGCGAAAACTAAAAATAGTGCAAGCTCATGGAATAGCACGTTGGAAAGCCCATGAGGTGTACTTTCAATATATAAACACTCCTGAAAGATTAATCGGGCAGATTTTTTTTAAAAATTTTTTTCCTAAAGTCAAGTCTTTTCTAGAGGGAAACATAAAATGGCCCACTGTGCAGCAATAAAAAATAGTGCACGCATATGAATGGCACTGCAGGAAAGGTCGTTCCAAGAGCTTTCTAAAACGCTATTACTTGGCCAAATCGATCGTGGAAAATTAGAGAAAAATTGATTTTTCTTATTTTTCAAAAGTTATCAACGAGTCCCACTGTGCGAAAACTAAAAATAGTGCAAGCTCATGGAATAGCATGTTGGAAAGCCCATGAGGTGTACTTTCGAGATATAAAAATTCCTGAAAGATTAATCGGGCAGATTTTTTTTAAAAAATATTTTCCCTAAAGTCAAGTGTTTTCTAGAGGGAAACATAAAATGGCCCACTGTGCAGCAATAAAAAATAGTGCACGCATATGAATGGCACTGCAGGAAAGCTCGTTCCAAGAGCTTTCTAAAACGCTATTACTTGGCCAAATCGATCGTGGAAAATTAGAGAAAAATTGATTTTTCTTATTTTTCAAAAGTTATCAACGAGTCCCACTGTGCGAAAACTAAAAATAGTGCAAGCTCATGGAATAGCACGTTGGAAAGCCCATGAGGTGTACTTTCAATATATAAACACTCCTGAAAGATTAATCGGGCAGATTTTTTTTAAAAATTTTTTTCCTAAAGTCAAGTCTTTTCTAGAGGGAAACATAAAATGGCCCACTGTGCAGCAATAAAAAATAGTGCACGCATATGAATGGCACTGCAGGAAAGGTCGTTCCAAGAGCTTTCTAAAACGCTATTACTTGGCCAAATCGATCGTGGAAAATTAGAGAAAAATTGATTTTTCTTATTTTTCAAAAGTTATCAACGAGTCCCACTGTGCGAAAACTAAAAATAGTGCAAGCTCATGGAATAGCACGTTGGAAAGCCCATGAGGTGTACTTTCAATATATAAACACTCCTGAAAGATTAATCGGGCAGATTTTTTTTAAAAATTTTTTTCCTAAAGTCAAGTCTTTTCTAGAGGGAAACATAAAATGGCCCACTGTGCAGCAATAAAAAATAGTGCACGCATATGAATGGCACTGCAGGAAAGGTCGTTCCAAGAGCTTTCTAAAACGCTATTACTTGGCCAAATCGATCGTGGAAAATTAGAGAAAAATTGATTTTTCTTATTTTTCAAAAGTTATCAACGAGTCCCACTGTGCGAAAACTAAAAATAGTGCAAGCTCATGGAATAGCATGTTGGAAAGCCCATGAGGTGTACTTTCGAGATATAAAAATTCCTGAAAGATTAATCGGGCAGATTTTTTTTAAAAAATATTTTCCCTAAAGTCAAGTGTTTTCTAGAGGGAAACATAAAATGGCCCACTGTGCAGCAATAAAAAATAGTGCACGCATATGAATGGCACTGCAGGAAAGCTCGTTCCAAGAGCTTTCTAAAACGCTA